CCGAGGCGTAGCTGGCAAGCGGCAGAGACGGAGCAGGCCGACCACCAGCTGGCCCAGCCCAAGGGAGGTAAGGCACCCGCCGGAAAAGGGGGGAAAAATGGCGGACAAAAAAAAATGGCGGACAGCCTTGCTTGGCGACCCCCATGAAATGGTCGATCGACCCCAAATGGGGTCCCGACCCACAGGTTGAGAACCACTGTGCTAAAGGGTCGTCCTCAGCCACTCCGTCCTGCTGGCCTCCCTTTCCTGGTTTTGCTGAGCCAGGGAGTGAAGGAGCGCGTCTGCCTGCATGGGCCAGCTCCTCCTGCAGCTCTTGAGTTCTGCTCGGCTGACACCAGGGGGCGATGACGCCCAACCAGGAGAGCAGGAGGCCCTGGAAAGCCTGTCCCTCCCTCTCTCTCTCTCTCTGGTTAACTTAAAGGACAATTAACAGGGCTTTCAAAGCCCACTTTCCACCTAGGGGGAGGAAGTGAAACAGTGGAGCAGAAGGCATTACCACACCATTAAGCTCAGCCTCCTAAGAGAGTGGCAGGGGAGCCTCCTGTGCTGCAAAAGGTGTCTCCCGGCTGTCCTAAACCATCCGGTGGTTTGTGTGGTTTTGAACTCAGCAGATTATGTAAAGCAAGCCATTGTGGGCTTGTAAGCCCAATGTAAACCCAGGGAATTGTAGTTTATTTATTAAGACATCAGTCCATCAACCTTGGCTTAGGGCTCTGGGTGAACTAGAATTCCCTGATTTCTTTCCTTCTCCTAAATGTACGGTTTTGCTGCAGGTTGCTTCCTCTCTGTCTTAGGATCTCATGCTAAGCAAAACCAATTAAAATAAGGCTGACAGGACTGGACGGTGACCTTTTGCAACCGACAGCTGCATTTTCTCACTGGGGGGGGGGGCTTCAAAGAGGGAAGTGCAGTAGGTGCAGTGCAGAAGGTCAGCTGCAGAAGGCTGCATCCAAGGATTTACATTTCAGGTCAAAATATAAATCCAGCCTGCAGCAAGTGCAGCTCCAGACAAGCTGAGAGCCGTAGGGCTATTTCAACGGGGCTTCTTCTGCCTGGAACACCCTCCCCTGGAAACACACCTCGAAGCCTGGATGCAACCTACTGACAAGGTGGGAAACACCTACAGTCAGTGTCCTTAAGGAATGGGTGGGAGTTACTTTGCTCTCGTGTGACTTCTGCTGAGTGACACTCCAACGCATCGCTTTACACTTCCCATTTGGTGAGGACAGTGCAGCAGGATCCTCCCGCCTCAGGAGAGGCCGAATGCCACCTGACCAAGGCTACCCCCATCCAGGAAGCTCGTCTGGAGGGCCGGCCTGCTCCACTCGGCACCCAATTGGCTTTTCCGTGGGCCCACCTGGCCGGAGCAGACCAACAATGTCTTCCCAGGGATTGGCATACAAAGGGCAGCCCTTCTTTCACGCCAATTTTGCAAGGAAGACACTAAGCCTGGCAGTGGGAGAGAGGAGTTTTGCCCTTGGGAAGCTGGTGACTCAATAGAAACACAGACTCCCCCCCTCCCCACTAGACCTCCATCCAGGAGAGGTGCCTGGTGATTTCCTGGTTTCCAGCATCAAAGCAGACATGCCAGCTCCACAAGGCAGAATAGGAGCCATGGAACTTCAGGTTCCTCTGTGTTTCGATGCCTTACCATGACTGCCTTGTCACAGACATTCAGCTGAGGTTCCCCTGGCACCAGCGTGGCCTTGTGCTCCTGGACAATGGGAGAGACTCTTTCCAAAACAGACTGGTATTCGGCGCTGGAGAAGCTGAAATAGAACCACAGCTGTCACAGAACCCCAAAGGCAGGGAACCCCGATACACCTGACTAGAAACACGCCCTGCTGTAGTCCCAACTGTTTCCTAAGCCATATGTTGGTTGAGGACACACTGGCCAGTCATCCCAGCCAACTGAGGCTTTATAGAATCCCAGAACTGAATGGGCCCATTTGAGGCCATCCAGTCTGAACCCTTGTTCAGTGCAAGAATCCAGAGGAAAGCAACCCCCACAGATGACTATTTAGTATCATCCTGAACGCATCCAGGGAAAGGGATCTTCCCTTCTCGCTGGGGATCATGGTATGTGGTCCAGATTTAGCCGATCATGCTGTAAAAATCCAAAGTATTTTTCATCCATTGCTTCCTGATCCTTTTCGGTTAAGGATTTCAGGGCTGAAACTGAAGATTTCTGCCTCCAGAGCAGATCCCCTACCACTCCCTAACGGAACAGTGGCTCTTGGGGCCGAACAACGACCCCCACCTTTCCCCCGTAGGAGAAAGGTCTCCTGGCCTGAGAAAAACTCCCTGTGCGCTGACTGCTCTGGGCTGAGGGCTAGTTGCTCTGGTTTTATCCTCTACCTTAAGGAGCAGCTTCGCCCTCCTCCTGGCCCCCTTATTTTTAGCAGGCTTATAAACATCGGCAGGTATTTCTTTAAGTGGATTAATGCTCCTTTTCACTGCGGTATTATTTCAAGCACATCTTAGGGCTTAGACTTAGCGATCTCATTCTGCCTGTCATGTTAAAAGTCCCTTAGGGAACCAACAACTGCAAATCACATTCGGAGACAAAATGGAAACGATGGCCCACTCAGGCTTCCCTTTTGCCTCGGGTCTGAGCTCACTGTGGTGCCCAGCTGTCAGGCTGTAGCCAGCTCACTTCCTTCTCCAAAATCAGCCACAATCGCAAGCCTGGGACGTGGCAGCACTTCCCACACACTCCTGTTGGTACCGTCCTCTTGGGCAATCCTCCGGTGCGCCAAAGGAAGTGTGTCGTTGCTTGCAATCCGGCTCCACGGTGGGGCTGAGCAAAGTGGAAGGAAGTTGGCAGAGGGAAGTTGCCCCAGCTGGTGATCTGATCTTGCTTTCCCAGCTAGGAAGTTAACTTTAAGGGATCCACTACCCAGCAAAACAGGTCCTGGGCTATGGAGCAGCAGACCCTCTAGAACGGTATTTCTCAGTCTTGGCAACTTTCAGAGGCCTGGCCTTCGATCGCCAGAATGCAATGAATTCCCAGCAGGCTGGCTGGGGAATTCTGGGAGTTGAAGTCCAGACCTCTTAAGACCACCAAGGCTGAGAAACACTGCTGTACAAGGACAGGAAAAACTGCCCTAGATGGAGGCTGCTCACCCATCTTTGGGGGCCCAGAACGGCCTGCTTAACTCAAGGCAGAACTGACCCGTGGTTCTTCTGCCAGCGGACTCCCAACCTCCCCACAGTGGAAGGCCGGCAGCACCCATCCATCAACTGGTGGCAGGCCCGTCCAGGTCCCCGCTCTGCTCCCAGGGAGATGTGCTTGGCGAGTGCCATCCGGTCTCAACGGCCAGCAGCTCCACCCTTGGGAATCGGAGCCACCCTCGCCCAGCAGGCAAGACCAAACAATGACAAGGGAGCTCAGTTTGAATCCACAATGTTGGTGGTAGCCACGGGGCTGTGCCTGCCAAGGTGTCTCGAATGTCTCCGCCAAGCGACAGGCCGCTCTGCCCCCGGGATGCCCCAAATTTATATTCCGTCTCTTCAAGCCTCCCCAAGAGCGGCTGGGAACTGCAGCGGAAGAATGAAAGGGAAGAGCGAGCCGGTGCAGGGTGAGCAGCTGGTGTGGAGAGGAGGCTGCCTGCGACATTTCCCCCCCCCGTACCGGAATTATTCCAGACTCGGGATGAAGGCACAGAGTGGACGGAGTCCAGGGTCATTACACTAATTAACACTTTACCTCCGGGAGGGACCCCAGAGAGCCAATCAGGAATGGAAGGGAGGCCGGCAGTCCCAGACACAGGTGTGATGTGTGTTTAGTTCATTTAGTGTAATTGTGCTCCCGCAATCTGCCCCCTCTCCTCCCACTTGAAGCAGATCCGGAGGATGGAGCTCATTCCATTGTTAACCCTGCTGTGGCCTGCAGCATCATCAGCTTGGAACTAAGAGGAATGGGGGGGGGGTAGCACCCCGGCTTCCTCCCAGGCATGCTTCAGGTTCTTTGCCCTCCCTTTCCAGTGTTACTGCGAATCCAAAGGATGATAACCCTCGTGGCAAAATGGTTTGGGTCATTTGCAAGGGTGGGGCGGGGGCTTCCTTGGGGGTGGCTCTCTCTGGGAGGCTGACCAGGCTCCACCTGCAACCGAGAAGCTTCTTTTCACGTCCCTTCATCCTTTACCCCTTTACATCCGAGGGCTGTTTGGCCTCTAGCCCAGGGTTACTCAACCTCAGCAACATTAAGATGTGTGGATTTCAACTCGCAGCTGGCTGGGGAATTCTGGGAGTTGAAGTCCAGACATCTTAACATTGCTGAGGTTGATTAAACTTTATAGCTCTGCTTGCATCTTTACAGAAGAAGCCTCCTTCTCCTCAATGGCAGTCTATGGAAAAAAAGAGCCAGGAGGCTGGTACTCCCAGATGTAAAGCTTCCTCTTCCCTGTGGACAAAAATACTGTTGTTTTGCTGGCCTGCAGGCAACACGGCCCTTGCTGGCACATGCTGGAAGTCAAATTGTCTTTGGACAAAAAAGTGCTTCCCCCGCACCCGCAATTAACATAGGCACTCCCCACAGGCTGGCCTCGAAGGGGGATAATTAAGTTATAGTAAGAAAGATACACACAACATGCCTGCTGCCCTAGAGCCCACCCCTGCCAATGGAAATGACTGGATTGCAAGGAAGAAAACCTGGGATGTTTCTACCACGACTGGAGACAGCAAGGAGTTTAGCACGGGCACTTTCCACAATTGGACTGGGGGAGAAAAGAGAGAATCACCAAAGGTCCACCTAGAGTGGAGTGGTCTTCCCTGCCCAGCATGTCCACGTAGCCCCTTTTCCTTCACTGGACTGGAGGCTCCTCTCGCTCTGGTATCCTCCCCTCTCACCTGATTGGATACTTTTCTCCAGGGTCCTTTCCCAAGTGGAAGATCAGGGGGAGCTTCGAGTGCTCCTCTTGGTCATGGGTGGTGACTCCAGAAACATTCTGCCCTGGGCAGAAATCGACGCCCTAAAGCAGGAAAGGAGGAGGAAGTCAGGAGGGAAGGCCAAAGAGATGGAGCTGCAGAGGCCCAAATGATTTCTCTTCTCACTCCATTGCTCTCCATCCAAGCAGAGGCCATATCTGGACCTTGGTGCATCAAGCTAAAACGCAAATTGTTCCTTTTGGGATCATCTCTCTGTCCCTCTCAGTTGCTTATTGCAGTAGACACTCCACCCACCCATCCACGTGTCTATTGAGGCTCTCAGTCATCCAGGTCATGGTTGTCCCAAAGATGCTTTTCCAAAAGGCAACTGGACTTTCTTGGTTTCTTCCTTGAAAATGTTTCACTTCTCATCTAAGAAGCTTCTTCAGTTCTGTTTATTGAAGAAGCTTCTTGGATGAGAAGTGAAACATTTACAAGGAAAAAATCCCAGAAAGTCCAGTTGCCTTTTGGAAAATCGCCTTTGGGACACCCATCCACAATGTTAGGAATTGCTTGGAAACCACCCTCTGGATTCGTTCACCAGCACATGAGCACACAGGAGCGAAGGCTGGAACATCTCCAGGGCAGCCCAGATGTCCTAGGAACAGCACTGATTCGTGGCAACTTGCCTGGCTAAAAAAGACTTCGTGACAGATGAAACCCTTCCCAGTCCTGAATATACCAACTATCTCATCCTGAACAGGCTGCCCGGATCTACACAGGTGGCAAAAGGAGAACCAGCGTGGCAGAAAATAGGGCAAGTGGGTGAGGCCCAGTTCTCCCCTAGGTAGGTCCTTCCCTCCCTGGGCATCGTTTCTTAATTCTTCATAGGAAAGTACTCATGGATGGGAGTGCTAACCCTCTGCCTCAAATGGCGTTCTCTATCCTGGCACATCTGGACTATATTATCTCATTCGACTCTTGCCTCCACCTTGGCAGGACCAGGGAAGGACTGTATGTGCCTCTTGCAGGAACCTCCTCCTTGCCTATCTCTGATGGTCACAGCAGCCCAGCCCAGATCTCCCCCCCCAGCCCCCCCCCAAGGCCATCTTTCCAGACTGCTGTTGCTTCCCAGAAGACCAAGGGTGCTATTAAGGGAGGGCGGAGAGGTGGCGCAGCTGCACTCCTGCTTGCACATAAAACAAGCACTCAGCCGAAAGTCTCTCCGCAGACGTCGGAAGGGATGTGATTGGCAAACAATTTTCTAAAAATATCCCGTGTGTGGATAGGCTGGTCAGTGGAGCAGTTAATATTCTGCTTTTTAATAAAATAAGAAAGGTTAGAAGCTCATGAAATCCCATTTACCTGCACAGAGCTACAGATTGCTGTCTCAGTGGAAGGAAGGAAGGAAGGAAGGAAGGAAGGAAGGAAGGAAGGAAGGAAGGAAGGAAGGAGGAAGGAAGGAAGGAAGGAAGGAAGGAAAGAAAGAGGAAGGAAGGAAGGAAGGAAGGAAGAAAGAAAGAAAGAAAGAAAGAAAGGAAGGAAAGAAAGAAAGAAAGAAAGAAAGAAAGAAAGAAAGAAAGAAAGAAAGAAAGAAAGAAAGAAAGAAAGAAAGAAAGAAAGAAAGAAAGAAAGAAAGAAAGAAAGAGGAAGAAAGGAAGGAAGGAAAGAAAAGAAAAGAAAAGAAAAGGCTGGGAGGGTTTTGATAAGCTGCAGCAGACAACCCATAGTGGATTTTAAATGGCGACAGAGGTGATTGACCTTTTCACCTTCGGTGCCCAGAGACCCAGCAAGCTTTGCTTTTCTGCAAAGTAAAAGTCCAAATCTCTTCCTAGAGAGGAAAATAATACGATGACAACAGCAGCTAATAAAAGCCAAAAACCTAATAAAAGCCAAAACCGGAACAATTGTCATTTGGATGCAAATCAAAAAGGCTATTTAATTAAGAGCATGCTAATTAGTATGGCACTCCTATAGTGCAAATGTGGGGTTTTTGCGCGAGGTAAGAATTTATTCTCTGGATATTTGCTGCCACGCTGTTCTGTTTACAGGGTGCGTTTCCTTCCCATGTTAACACAGGCTTGAAATTAGCCATTCAACTAATCACCAAGGGTGGGTTAAAATCTGCCTGCCGGTCATTAGACACAGATCTCCTCCCTCTGGGTTGCAACGTCATAGAGAGAACACAGATTTCCAAGTAAGGACGTGCAGGGGAGCTCTCTGGCCGTGCCACTGGCCCGCTCTCAAAGCCGGCCTTTGTTGAGCCAGCAGGCGACAATCTATTTCTCCCGAGAGAGACTGCAGCTCTCCTCCTTTCTTGAAGAGAAACACCAGAGGGACGCTCTGCTCCCTCCACGTATCTTCGTACATTTGCACATCCTTATTTGATGCCACTCAAACACAAAGTTTCTCCTCTGTACATCTTGTGCACTGCTTAGAACAGTATTTCTCAACCTTGATGACTTGAAGATGTCTGGATTTCAACTTCAGCTATGCTGGCTGAGGAATTCTAGGAGTTGAAGTCCAGACATCTTCAAGTCACCAAGGTTGAGACACACTGGCTTAGAAGGCTACAGCAATCCATTTCACATTGGCTACTGTGAAGCAGCAGAAGCAGCTGCTGGTCAAGATTAACAAATATCACAACTATAAGGAACAACCGATCTTCATCAGGGGTCCAGTGTGCCTGGTCTGCCTCTGGTGCTGAACCTCCACAGTGCCATTTCCACCCTCTAAAACATACCAACCATCTTGGTCAGCCTGCTCTGGGGTTGTGCTCCTGCATCTGTTTCCCAGCCAACAGTGACAGATGCTCAAGGAATGTAAACAAGAAGCTAAGCAGCAGGCGGGGGGGGGGGGGAGCTGGCTTTCCGCAAGTGCCCACGTTGACATCCTCCGATCTGGCCACCCGTCCCCCGGCTGCCCTCTCGATCCTCCTGTTGTGGACATGCCATCCGCTCAGCCAACCCTGCCTTCCTGAAAAAGGGAGCTAAAACATTCCTTTGGGATGCCAAACCTTTGTAACGCAAACCGCTGCACTGCTGCATGAGGTTTAGGATAAGGTAGGATCAGATGGGGGAGAGGGAGGAGGGGTCCACTCCCCAAAACTCCCATCACATCTGGGCAAGGCTGCTTTGGACTTGAGAGACATGAATGGCCAAGAGTGGTGTCCTCATCTGCCCCATTCCAGGCCTGGGAAAGGAAAGGGCAGCTGGCAAGCTCCCCTTATCCTGTAGAGACAGGCTGGGGGTGGGGAGTCCTAACATCTCCAAGGCAACATGGCATCTGTACCAAAGACTCTGCCTCCTTTCCAAACCTTCAAACTCTCCGGCATCTCTAATTGATTCTCCAGTGCATCTGAGATGTTAATCTGTCTGCCCAAATTTAAAGAGTTATCTATTACTATGTTCAGAAAAAAATGTACCTCCAGAAGTGTAATTTTTCATACCTCAGTTATTTACACCCGTCTTCTAAGCCCTAAACTTCCCTTCTGCTCAACACAACCCATTAATCAAGGGATGACAACTTAAAACTGTGCAAACAAGAACCACTTGTAAATCACAATGGCCCTTTTACAGTTTCTGGATGGCAGCTAAGTAAATATTCTTCCTCGGTCAGTTACAGCTGCAAAACAATTCTGCCAGCTTCTTCTTAGCCAGGTGGATTTCCTGCTGAGTTGGTTTGCATTTCTTATTTTGGCATTTTAAGAAAAACAGGTGCTTTTTGCAAGAATGGTGCCCTCTCCTGATAAGCTAAGATAAACAGAGTTGGGCAAATCCAGGACAAAGTTCCACATCCAGATCAAAAGTCTTGAGCGACTGAGGTTCTAACCATAGTTGAAGAACCAGCTGCACCTGAGAAGGAGATCCCTACTCCGATCACTTCACACAGCAGAGAGAACGACACCTTTGGGTCTCCAGTCTCATTTGGAAAATTTCACCTGGCCTGGTCTACCAAAAGGAACACTCATTTCCTCCATTATCCCAGCCTTGAACTGAGGCATTCCAGCCACTTCAGGACATGTGTTGGATCCCAAGACGCCTCTAGATAAATTCTGCATTATTCCCTTGGGTCCAGTAGAGCAAAACATCCAATTAAAAAGCTGATTCATATTCCATTGAGGAGGTCTCAGCCACTGGCTGGCTGTTGCAATCCCTGTCCTCATGTTCAATATATGTGTTTAATATTCCCTTTTCATAAAGGAACCAACAACCTCAAGTGGCTGTTGTTTATGTATCTCCCAGCCTCACTATCAATAATATTGATAAGAAAACTGGAGATAGCAAAAAGGAGATTAAATAGCAATTATTTGCTATTTAAGCAAGGGGTTGGAGTAGAAGACCTCCAAGGTCCCTTCCAACTTTTATTGTTATTGTTATTATTATACTCCAGGAGGGTTTCAAGCATCTGCAATCGAAAATGTAATGATATTCTGCATTCTATTTTTAAAAAACAGCTATTAGCTAGTGTTGCACCAGAAGAATAGGACAAATTTTAGCTCTCGCACAATCTTCATGTTGTTAATGGTGGTTCTGTCCACTAATTAGGTGCTCCAGTTGTACCCACACCAACCGCAGACAACACAAGCAGCAGGAAAGCAATGGATTTTTAATCACCCTATGATGTACAGTATAATTGCTGACTTTTATCAACTAGCCGTTAAATAAAGACTTAGAAAGGAATAAACATTCCGTAATTGCATGTCTGCCACCACTCACAGGGGGATAACCTTGGGACAGGTCGCTCCATTACAAAAACTGTGCTTTCTCACAGACACACCAGGCAGACATGCAGCCAGAGATCCAAGGCAAAGACAGGCCTGAGATGCTTAACTTGACCAGAGAAACAAGGCATGTCTGAGGACAACTGGTAAAGGCTCTTCCCTTCTCTCCCCAAGGGCTGTTACTGAGACCTTATAGAACAGCAACTGAAAGACTGGGGAGAGAAGCTGAAGCCACCTCCAGGAAAAGTTAAGCATATTGGAAGGGTTAGCCCAGTATTTTTCATACTTGGCAGCTTTAAGAATTCTGGGTGTTGAAGTCTATGTGTCTTAAAGTTGCTATGTTTGAAAACACTTAGTCTAAATGTTTCTTTTTAATACAATATGGATCCTTGCTAAAAGCTTTTTAACACCTTTGTAACTCCCTTAAAAGTATTCGAGGTAGATGTTTTGATGAGAGAAGTATCACTTCTGAAAATAGCGGGGAAGGAAGGAAGGAAGGAAGGAAGGAAGGAAGGAAGGAAGGAAGGAAGGAAGGAAGGAATTTTCAATTACCTGGTTGAACTGCTCCCAGGAATTGCTCCAGGTCCAGTAATGGGCCTTATAAAGCCCAACCCGCACTGCCATCATCTCGTTGCCACGGTAATAAAATATTGGTCTGATGAGAGAGGATGGGGAGGGACAAAGAGAGATGTACAGCCACATGAGAAATGTAACATGTCCAAACAAGTCGCTTCCCCCCTCCCCCCACAGCTACAGAGATAAGGGAGACAAACTCTTTAGCAAAGCCTGGCCGGCTATCAGCCAGGAGCAGGCGGCCTTCCAATAGCCCTTCTGCAAGGTTTTCAATTAGCATTTCTTAAAGCATCCATCAAGAGGAGAGCTTGCCTAGCAAAGCCAGAATGAAACGTTATACCAATTGTCTTGCCAGTGATTGTTCATCCTTGAACTACCAGGTTGTGTAATTTCACATGGAGGAGTCCGCTGACTTAAAATACTCAAGGGAGAAAGGCACCTGTCTGATGGAGATGCCAAAGATACAGGAGGCCAAATTGCCAACTGATAGCCAGGAAACACCAAGCTTTGTCAATTTGCTTTGAACTTGAATAGAGCAACATGTATGTTTCCTTCAATTATTTTTCAAAAAAAAAAGAAAAAGAAAAGAATGCACCACATTATTTGTACAAACTCAATGTTGTGGAATTGGGAGATGGGAAGTAAGTCAGTCTTTCCTGGAATTATGTGGCTTTTAATTGACCAAATTAATTAATCAGGCTGAGTGAACTTTAGACCAATTGTGCTGGTATCCTGTATTGTATTGTGTCTGTACTTTGACCTGTTGGAAGGGGCTCTTTAGAAAAAGGCCAGTCCCATAACCTAAGCAGAGCAATTTTGGTGAAAATCAAGGACACTGAAGTAGAAGCATCATCTATTAAATCTGCAAGTTTAATGCAAGGATGAACAAATGTGTGGCACTCCTGTGTTACTAAACTTCAACATCTGGTCATGGCTTATGACATGGAATGTGGAAAAAAGCCTCTCACTTCTGACTCACAGAAGGAAAACAAAACCTATTCTACTTGGTCCGTATATCTCAGTAGTAATTAGGGAGACCTATGGAACAGCAGAGTAACGCTAAGCTACATGGAATGACAAGGCAGTCGCCGACGTATGTTTTGCGCTCCAGATACAACATCCGCAAAAGCTTTAGGAAGCAGGTGCTTCATCCTCACGAACAAATGACAGGAGTAACCCTTCTATAATAAGAGGCTCCAAAAACAGCCAACTATTTCTGCTGCACCTCAATAAGGCTGAGGGTGGGGAGGGGGGATCAGCAGAAAGCTACAAGGGGGTGTGTGTGCTCATAACTCACCTGTCAATTAGTTTGCCTTGCAGGAGGACAGGCAGGAGGTCGATGCCGTCGATCTGCCTGTCACTGGGAGGCTGCAGTCCTGCCAGGGAGAGGCAAGTGGTGAAGAGATCCATCACGTTGGCCAGCTGATAACTCACCTGCAAGCCGCAAGACGAGAGCGTGTGTGGAAACTCTTGCTTCAACAACACAAGGCTGAAAAATTTATCTCTGGACCTTCTACCCAGCTACAGGATTTGCAGAGACGTGTTTCGATCAGGGTCCTTACGCAGGAAAAGCGGGGTGCTCTGCTGCTTCTTCAAGGGGGTTGGCTTTGTTCTGCCCAAACTAAGTACCCAGATTCTTAAACATGCTTTTTCAAAAGGCAACTGGACTTTCTTTGGGGGGTTTTTTTTGTTATGCTTTATTGAAACAAAGAAAGTCCAATTGCCTTTTGAAAAAGCACCTTTGGGATAACCAGGACTGGATGACTGAGAACAGACATTTACCCAGACTCTTGATCTCCCAAGTGACTGAGAGGGATGGTGAGGACCTTCAAAGCAATTTCGGATGCTGTAGCCACAACCACTAGCAGGGTTCCCCGGAAGAGCACCATTTCCCAACCTTGGCAACTTTAAGAGGTGTGGAATTCTGGGAGTTAAAAATCCACACTTCTTGAAGTTGCCAAGGTTGAGAAATGTTGTTCTGGACTACTGAAGGATGTTGGAGATGCAGAAAAACCAGAATTTCAACCCCACATAAAAATTCTAGGGCTGAGATTCTGGGATGCAGCTACAGAGGAAACCCTGACCAGCAGCAGCATTTTCCCACACCAGAGATGAACGGTCAGATCCATGTGAGTGGAATGTTTGGGTAAATTCCAAGGATCTTTTTATTCCTGCCTTGCATAAAAAAGTCCACCAGCCCACGATGGGTCTATGACAATTCGCCCTGGCCAGCTCGCCACAGCCAACTCGCTAATACATTAATATCAAAGAAATGGTGGAACAGACTCATTTTAAAAAGGATGCAAAAGGAGGGACAGAATGAAATGTGAATGACAAAAATTAAAATCTTTTTTACTTATTTTAAATAATTAAATTGAATTGTCAAATTGTCCCACAGCGAGTTGGCTGAGGCGAGTTGTCCCATTCCACCCGGGACTGCCGGCAACCACCTCGCTCTTCTTCTCCATTGTTCCACCGAGCCTGGAGAGGATAGCTCATTTTCCACAGCCAATTCTGTCACTGGTCTCCCACCCTGCTCCCTGCACGAAGGACAGAAAATTTCTTAAAAGAAGCTAAATGCCAATGTTACAGCTACTTGGATTTATCTGCAGCACCATATTGGAGAGATAAAATCTGGGGTGGGGATGGAAACAGGAGGAGGTTGCTGGGGGCGGCAGGGGGGGTGCCCTCTCCTATTTTCAGAGGGTGAATGGAGCACTTTTCTTCTGTCGACATTCCTTCCTTTGCCATTCCCGTCACAAAATGGGGAAGAGAACATTCTGAAGCGTCGTGGCTCGGTGAAAAATAAATAATGAAAGCCAGAGGAGCTAGATCAGATATTTTTCATATCAGCACACAACAGCCCATATTATCATGTGCGAGAAAGGGGGTCTTATATATGTTTTATAAACTCTCAGCACATACAGAGCATCTTTAAGAAAAATGAAATCCTTTTTGCCGCGGGCCACATCGGGAGAAGAACTAGCCAGCTCCGGCGTTATCAGCGCTTTCAAGCTCTAACTCTGAATCAAAGGCGACAATTAATAAAGTTGCCCCCGCCAGGAATGGAAAGAAGGAAAGCTAAATATTTGAAACTGGGTGAACAAATGTCAGGGTGTTTTTAAATAAAATCCTTTTACATTTATCACAGCAAGCAGACCTGATATCCCTGTCTAATTCAATTTCAATTTGTGCCTTGTGGGAGATAGTGAAGAAAAGGTTGCAGTGCTGTCTTTGGCTTGATATGTTCTTTTCTCCTTCAGGGAGCAGAACTGGGGGGGGGAGAGAAGATGGAAAGGGGGGCTGGAACAGGAGAAGGACTGAAAGGAGCACAAAAATACAAACTCCTGCAGTTGGATCCTTTGAGAAAGCAGAGGCAGCAGGTGAACTTGCCCAGAAAATCCTGCTTAGAGGCAGTCCTTGAGGTACCACTCTAATGGAGCCTGCCAATTATGGTCCTAAGTGGCAATGGCCGTAAAATGGATCAGCCATGTGACTGACCTGATTTTACTACCTTTATTAGTAGTTAAACAAATCCAGTGTTCCCTATGGTGCAGATTTGTCAAAAACTGGAAGTAAGTGACAGAACATGAAAAGAATTCAAACCATCTATTTTGTACAACCCATCAGGGAATGCCATTATTATTCCTATAGATCTATAGGGTGCCATATAAAGCAAAACTACTGGAAGTCCTACACAGAAGATTCCCCACACACACACACACACGCCGATTCCCACCTGTCCCGCAGGTATGTGTCCTGGCCACCAGGCAATAGCTGGCTCTCTCATACCACCTTCAAACGTCGTTTGCTTGCCACATAGGAAAGGGCCATTGCTGCCTCCTGGAGAAAGAGAAAAAAATTCCGAAACATTTTTGGACAGATAAAAGGTAGAATCTGAATTCAGGCTAATGGGCTAATAAGTCATTCAAAAGGACACTGTCACCTTGATTCCCCCCCCCCCCCGATATAAATATTTATTTGTAGATAATGCCTTTGGCAGAAAGCAAATCAGCTTCTAATATTCTGTCCCAACACTACCAAGGTCCACTCTGAGCAAACTGACCTTGTTGTGGGGCTGAAATCAGTGCGGCCCCATTGTCAGACGTAAAAAACACAAGGGTGTTGTTGCTGATGCCCAGCTTTTGAAGGTGATTAAGAATTTTCCCAATGCTGAAGTCAATTTCCCGCACAGCATCGCCATACCTAAGAGTCAGGGAGAAGAAATTACAAAGCAATCAAGGTGGAGATGAAGGTATCTGGGGATACTCCATGGGTATGGGTATGTGTATGTATGTATGTGTACAGACATGCATGTGTATGGTGCAAAGAATCTGCAAAGTCCCTTATATATATAATAGTATCATTTATGAGTGAACATCCCACATATACTGCTCTCAGAGCAGCTAATACAAGAATACCACATTATAAAAACAACTATGTTTCAAAAAGGTCCAGATAAATAAAAAATGTAAAGGCCTTGCTTGTAATACTTCTTTTACAAAAGAAATGTTAATACAAATTGTTTCTAACCGTATTTGCATTTATAAAACTACACTTATATAGAATGCTCATTCTAACTAGCCAAGCAGGTAAAAGATAGGGGGGGGGGGGAGTTTTCCCAGTAAAATAGCAGTGAAAAGAAAAGAAGAGGGGTGAGCCTAAGCTGAGGACATCCCGTCAGAGTAAAGAGCAAGGAGCATAATAGTAAATTCCTGTGTTGCATAAGCGTTATTTCTCTGAAAGGAAGAAATAAGATTTTAGGGGGCCTCCAGAGCTGATTATTGCTGGCAGCCTTCACTGCATTTTTTTGCTTGGCTTCTCCTTGATTTTTTCCACTGTCTCTTTTTCCAGCTCGGAGCCGTGGTATATAGAATAATAACTACTGTTACTGCAGAAACTCCTTAGCTCAGAGCCCAAGAGGCACTATGCTGAAGTCATAGTGGGGAATGGCTGGGGAATTCTGGGAGTTGAAGTCCACACATCTTAAAGTTATCAAGTTGGAAAAACCCTGTCCAGCCTCTACAATTCTGTGGAACACACAGAGTTTAAACCCTGCACGGGTACCTCCACCAAATCAGACTATAAAGACTGCTTGGGGATTCTCTCTTGGGACAACGTGGAAGGGAGGGGAGAATATGTTGCTCAAAACCAACTTACAATCCTCTTTGGCTTGTGCCCAGGAATTCCCTGGAGGCATACACAGGAGCGTGGGTGGCATCGATGGCCCAATAGAGAAAAAATGGCTGATGGCTGGCTTGCTGGTTGCTTATGAAATCCAGGGCTTCCTGGAAGAGAGAAGCAACTTTCAATGGGATCACCCAGGCTGCAGAAAGGACCTTTGGGTTTGAAACAGGTTCTCAGAACAAAATTACCTGTAAATACATTTGAGTTAGGTTTGCTTCTCCCGACTTACGATCAATTTTTATATCTTCATAATACCTACAATAGAAAAGGCAACAAGAAAAACATTCCTTGCATTTTTAGGAATGCAAAAATAAAGGAATATGGGTTTTCTCCCCGATACAAGCTGTTGCTGATAGTAGCAACAATCAACCCAATAAGTCAAGCTATTTTGCTCAATTTCTTGTTGTTCCAGCCTTCATTCTGACTCATTTCCTCGTTTTGCTACTTTATAAAACGCTCTATGAAAAATTGTGTGTACTCTTTTCCATACGCAATGTACGTATGTTTTTGCCAGCCACATTCCCTAGTGTGTTTGTGTGGGTGCTTTTCGATGCAGGTTTTAAAGGTGTGGACCCTACTGCTTATCACTGACTGAGTCTCGGTTCAGATACAACTTCAGGAGCTGCAAGCTGGGAACGTCCCTGTTAAAATATGAACTGACTTTTTCTTCCTTCTTAATAGATAATAATGTGAAGGATAAACTGTATTTCATGTTTGAAGCTTTTAGTGTTTAACGTGAGCTACCTGGAATGAGTAGGATAGATGGCCTGTAAATGTATCAATAAAAAAAGTGAAATAAAGCCGGATGGGCATGAAGTGGGAGGCTGGCCTTTCCTGAATTTCAATGATTAAAGTGCAACCCTGTTCTATTAATGGAGTTCACAAATAATTTACTACATGTAGTATTTTCTCAGCGAATGGGCTCAGATCTCTCAATGTACTTTCAAGGTGATGTTTTCATCATTTTCACTGTGAGTAGTTTTATTGTGGCAGAAATTCTGGGACGTGAGGACCTGCCCAGGTGTGTGATCTAGAAAGCTGCAGCCTCCCTCAGGGTCTCTTCAGGAAAGGAAAGCAATACAACCACTACTCAGACTTGGCCAGAAGAAAAGCAAGAGAATACAGTCCAAAGCTGCCCACTGTAACGATGCCCAAAACCAGCTGAGCGGAACTAGTAAAGGAACACAGAGAAGTGAGTGATATAAAAAAAAGAAAAGCAAGGCTACCTGCCGATCATTTCCATATCCCTATAAACGGGAATGTTGGGGATGGCTTTGTTATCGTAAGGTCCAAAGTGGCAATTGGGGGATCCAAACCAGGTGTCAAATCCATGCCTCAAGGGAAGGAACTGAGGTTGGTGGCCCAGGTGCCTAGAAAAGATGATTAGCCAAAGAGGGGGGAATTTGCATCAGAGGGCAGCCAGCAGCTCCTACGTCCAATTAAAAATAAAATAATCACATTTCAGGGAACCGGATGATGGAAATAACACCCACAGCCAAGTAGCCAGCATTGGAAGACTTCTTTGCTTTACCTCACATCTTCAATCTTTCCAGCTCATTCCTCCCACTTCTCAAGCTTCTTTGCTTGGCTCCTTCCTCTCCGCCCTCACCCTGTCCTGCCCTGAGCAATGCTACCTATTCATTTTTAAAATTGCTGTGCCATCTCTCAAAACCAGGATTTCCTAAGGCAATTTATAACCCAAACCATTTTCTGATGCTCAGGTGCGCACGAGTAATGTATTGCTCCCCAGCATTCTCAGGGAGCTGCTCAGCAGCCCCTCCGGTTCTTTGGCTGGTCTTCAACGGGGCAGAGGATCAATTGCAAATAAGGGTGGAAAAGAAAACGAGCCGCTCACGGCACGGCACAGGAGAAACTACCACCACAAAGGGCTCACCGGACACCTGCGCTTGCCTGCCAGGCTCAAAATTGCCCTCCAGCGGAGAAAAAGGCAGGAAGAAGCGTAGCTGGGTGTTTTTTCCTGGGCTTGCACAAGACCCTGTGATTCCCAGGAAACACGCATTCACTGCACCTCCTGCCCGTCACCTGAAACGCCTATTTTCCTGGAGCCGAATGACTGCACAGCCCTCATTAGAGCTTTTGTTTCAGTCAAGTCTTCCTTTGAATTTGACTGGAAAGGAAAGCAAACTTCCCGGGTTTAAACTAAGAGCTTGAGCAACAGATCTTTGGCCCTGGACTGAGCTGGCCTAGGCTGGTAATCAGCTGACTGGAAAGGAAGCGTTTCTGGGAGCTTCCTCTTCCAGTTAAGGCGCCCTTGTGCTGCTTGAATCTCTTACCCAACATGCCTGCAACCTCTCTGGAGAGCGCCTGGTTGGGGAATAATCTGCCACAGAACAATCAGGGACATTAATGAACAAGTGATAAATAGGAGGAACGCTACCAGTCTCTCTCTCTCTCCTCTATTTTCCTGTGGCTCAAAAAACACATTCTTTTTTGCAGCTGCTGCAAGCTTCTTTTTTAACAACTGTGATTTATGTAGGCGAATCATTTCCAGCGGCCAGGCTGTTTCTGTTCTTAACACCTGCACCAGCACCACAGAGGTGGCTCATCAATTTAAATGATCCAACTCTTTGCTCATTTAAAGATGCTTCCAGGATGCAGTGCAGGCAGATTGAGGTCAGCTCTCCATTTACCTTCTGCCCATCTAGATTATGGCCCGACTCTTCAAAGGTGTGCTAACATCATCAATTATTTTTCCTGTGGGAATGATACATCTAACCCGGATCAGAGAGAGGCACTTTCCCCTCTGGGAGGAAAGTGCCACATCTCCGTATTCCAAGGGGGGGGGGTCAAAACCAGAAGAATTGACAACCAGGTACAAGCACTGCAGCATTGTCACTGGTGATGAAAAGAAATGCAAGATGCACGTGGATAGCTCAGAAATCAATCACAGCAGGCGCTTATCCAGACAGCCTGCCTAGATTTCTGAAGACTTTCAGACAAAATAAAGCACAGTGATATAAAGTAGCCGGAAGAAAACTTTACCATTTGCCAACTATCTTATTGGCATAGCCTGCTTTCTTCAGCAATTCTGGAAGGAGTAGCTCAGAATCCAGGATGCCCCCCGTTACGTCTTGGGGCGTATAGGCTGCATGAAGACAAGAACAGTTCAGCTAGATAAACAAGCCACGGGAATTGGGTTTGTGAGCTGGTGCTCTCTCTCCTGAGCACGTCTGAGGGTCGTTCAAGGATTAGAGGCATCTAAGCCAGGCTATGCCAAACACGCCAAGAATAGATTCCCAAAACCGTCTCTTGGGTTCCATTCAAAGTATGCATTCACTTCCCATGAATTCTTTACATCTGGAAAAGCAAAAGGCCATACTGGGGTTTTTAAATGCACAGGATATAAAAGGGAAGGGGTAAAACACTAACCCAGCAAATATAATTGTGTCTCATATACTGAGCAGCAAGCCTGGCCCATCTTTCTTCACAAACAAGCAGAGAAGTAGGCTTTTGACAAGGTACAGAGAGCAGATCCCATTTCAGTCATCTACTTCTTTCCGGGCCCTAAATCCCTGATGCTGGTCTTTGGATGAGGTGGGCTGGAAAAGACTTCTGCCTTCAAGAACTATTCAATGTCAGTGCAAGTCCCTGAGAGTTAAACTGAGAGCCTTGTAACTCCCAGCATAGCCATTTAACAGAGGACTTTTCAATAACCCTAGATAGCACACCTCTATTACTTAAACCATCACCCAGAAAGACAACACAGAGGCCCTTAGCCTATTTTAGATGCTGCACACATTCTTCCGTGACTCTCTTGCCCTTGTCGTTCTATCAAAAGCCCTCTCTTCCAGCAAAGAGAGAAACACCCACACTTGCCAGCATGCAGCATGCATCAATCTGGAGCTGTAAATGCATGCTTCAAAACATATGGTCTCCTCCAGCATCTGCCATTTTGGAACAAACAATTCTAATGCCAGCTAGATTGGCCTCCAATCAGCTCAAGCTGGCATCTCCCCATAAAAATCCTGGAGCAAAGTGCTCATTATGGGCAGCTTAGCGATGCCCTCCAGATGCCCTTGCCGAGTTTAGAGAAGAACATCTTTTTGCTAAAAGAGTAAATTTCAAACAGATTGCTGAACTACAATAACACACGACTACTTTAGTTCCTCTTTTGTTGAGTGTTCCTTAACCCATTCGGCAGCGGAAACAAGCACAGACTTAGCCCAAATTCTAAAATACAAGCTGCATTAAGACTGTTTGGAAACATTTTTTTAAAGACCTCAATGGAGGTTGTGGTAGTTTAAATCATGCAAAATTCTGAGGTTGCCTCTTCCTCTCTCTTTGCAAGTTAGCCAAATGCACCCTGTAAGTCTCCCTTAATTTGAAACTTGGAAGCCAGATCCTGCCCTCAGTTTCTCTTGCAGGAAGAGGACCTACCGTTTCTGGCATGGCCATTGGTGGTATAGAAGCCATTCCTTATAGGGAGACGGCCTGTCAGGAGAGCTGCCCTGGCTGAAGAGAGAAGAGAAACAGGAAGATGACAGCAGATCCATCAAGCCTGACTTTCTTTCATTGTACCCAATGGGATTTTTTTGCCACAAACCATAAATGCTGGTTTTCGGCAAAAAAACGTTGCAGATTGCAGTCTGCAGGATGCTGCAAATTGCCATAAATGCAGGCCAGTTGCCAAGTGCCCAAAATGCAATCATATGACTTGGGGGGAGGCAGCAGTCAGAACTTTGAAAGTGGATGATAAATAGCTTTGGGGAGGTCAGTCAGAACTTCGAACGGTTGCTAAACAGCATAGGTTGAGGACTATCCCCAATTGCCACAATTCCAATGTGTAGAATTTTATCCTAACAGCAGTTGGGGAGCCTGGATGAACTAGTTCAGGGGTAGGCAACCTTGGCTCTTTTATGACTCGTGTTGGCTCAGGAAATCTGGGAGTTGAAGTCCACGAGTCATAAAAGAGCCAAGGTTGCCTACCCCTGAACTAGGGTATCAGATGAACTGAACTATTGTGGAGAACTGAACATTTTTTCAGGCACTTTCTAGATCCACTAACATAGGGGTCCCCAACCCCCAATCTGTGGACCGGTACTGGGCTGCAGCATGCCAGCAACCGGTCCACACAAACAAGCAAAGCCACATCCATAGGATGCAGGCAACACACAAAACTATGCAAACTATGTGGGAAAACCTTTCTCCATAGAACCGGTCCCTGGTGCCCAAAAGGCTGTGGACTTCTGCACGAACAGGAGCATTTAATCTGTAACACAAAAGACCTGTGGCTGCACAGTAGTTTTGGGTAATGCTACATCTTAGCACAGCACTAAATAATTAAACCATGGAGGGTATAGTTTCAATAAAGGAGAATATTTGTAGCTTAGGGCTGAAATGAGGAGTCCAAGATGCTCTCTGAGCTGGTTATTTTCTGGCAGATGTTTTGTTACCCAAACTAGGTAACATCACTGATGTCTGCCAGAAAACAACCAAGCTCAGAGAGCACCAAGGACCCCTCAGGGTGTAATTTTGCCCACTGTGAAGGAATGGTCCAGCTAAGGATTGGATCAAGCCCAGCTTTTTACCCACAGGCCCATAACATTTCCCTGAGATTCTCAAGTCTACTTACATGGTGAGCAGAGAGGGTTGGCAGTGTAGAAGCTTGTGAAAAGCATGCCTTCTGCAGCCATCTGGTCTAAGTTAGGGGTTTCTTTGGAAGGATTTCCAAGCACACCCAAGTCACCCCAACCCATCTGAAAAAACACCAGCAGGCAAGAAAAATGAAAGCTTTTAGAGCCAAAAAGTTAGCTTTTAACCTTTGTATTTTTCTCATTCAGGTAGTTAAAAGAATTGCTAGAGAATCCAGAATGGCAACATCCACTTAAGAGGGGATCAGTTCTTTCCACAGTGTTATGCTATTTTTTCTTATAGGAGAGTGGCTGCTTTTGAGCACAGTTTGGTTTTAAGCTAAAAGTGTGAAAGACTATTGACTTACTGGTGACCCTCACAACAACTCAAGGCAATTCTGCAAGCAAATTATGTACTCCATTTGGTGTAAGTCATTTTGTGGTCGTCGTGTGAATTTTCCATTCAGCTTTATAAAATTAAAGGAAAATCCAGGGAAACGGTGCCAGGCCTGACTTTTCTATACTGGCCCCTGCAGCTCCACACTCTTAGCCAGACTTCGTCTACAACTTTTTTTTAATGACACATATATACTGAAAAATAATAAAAAGAGGAAAAAAATGAGAGCTTTTTTGCTGTAGAGAAAAATAGGCAAAACAACAGGAACTTTCTTCTAAGGAATACACACACTCGTGTACACACCAACAATTTCCAGCAACAAAAACAGAGCATTAAAAATAGCACACTAAATAAAGAGGCCCATTAGGAAATTCTTTGCTAATAGTTCAGTCAGCAGAAAATTGGAATAATTTACTTAAAGTGCTTGATGAATCATAATCACAGAAACAGATCAGGAGCCCAGAGTTGAATTCTAAAGCAGGTATACATTACTACTAGGCCTTTTCCTGAAACGGAGGGGCAGCTATCACAGTAGATTTCAGCATGTCTAGGCAAAGCCCATGACCCTCACTTATTGAGAGGACACAAGTCGTCCTTCAAACAGTCCAGGTGAAATGCTGAAAGAAGAGGTGCCCCAGTTGCAGTGAGGCCATTCCATCACCCTGTTCAAAACCAAAATACTACTGTAATACTTTCTGCTATCTATTCACGATGGACAGTGATTAATATTTATATGTATTTATTTGTAAGGGTATGTACATAGCATGTACATAGCATGTCTATATGTGTGTTATGTATGTGTACACTTTGAGAGCAGGCAACAGAATTTCATTTTTAATATGTGCCAGTGTGCCCACTGTAAAAAAATGACAATAAAGGTTATCTTATACTACTCAGAATACAGGAAATATGCAATGGGAGAAGGTCCCAATTCATAATATAACTATTTTTCTGCACAGAGTAACAAGTTTTGAGAACCTGGTCTGCCAAAGTAGTGTAAGATTATAAGTAGTAGCGTCATTTTGGAATGAGATGGGTGGCATACGAATTTAATAAACAATAACTAGCCCTCAATATTTCTTCCAAAAATCTGGTAGTATCCATAGAGATTGACCGGTCCATAAAGATTTTCAAGCTAAAGCTAACAAAAACTTAAACTTATCCCTGGCAGAAAGAGACAGGAAACTGCCAGAAACTTGGAGTGGAGGAATTTCAAGACTGCAGGTCAGATAAAAAAAGGCTCCCAGTGAAATTCAGGTCGCTTGGGGCCCTATAGCACAATTCACCATCCAGAGGTGGACGGGACCTGGTGCTTACGATTTCCAAGAGCTGCAAATTCAGTGGAAAGTTGTTGTTTTTTTTCCCCTCCCCACAAAATGAGCTGCCAAGGGGCCCAGGGACTGAAGAAACGCCAGGATGGTTTTCAGGCACTTCCCATGGATTTCCCATTTGTTGTAAGGGCTGAGAAGTTGGACTAAGGTGGAAAGGCTCCTGCCAGGCGGGAAGATGCCTCCCGCAAAGGGCCGAAACTTGGATCTCTGAAAGTGACCTGGGTTTTTTTGAAAAGGAGACCTCCAGGAGATCCCTAGGAAATCCGGTATAACTTTCCTGAGACTGCGTAGTAATAATAATAAAACAATAGCAACAATAATAAGAGCTTTTCCGCATGGGCGTTTATCTAGGCGCCTGCCCGGCCACCCCCAAGCCCGGGGCTGCCCAGAGTCCAGCTGGACCGGGCGGGGGCTTTCCGTCTGCCCCCTCCAGCCAACTCCGCCCCTCCCCCACCAAAGGCCCCTTCCCCGGAACGAGGCGCCCGCGCTCACGTCGTCCATCAGCAGCAGGACCAGGTTGGGCGCCGCCGGGGCCCAGGAGAGGTCGGCAGCCGCCACCAGGCGCCACGCGAGGGCCAGGCCCCAAAGGGCCGGCATCCCCCGCCGCCGCCAGGGCTGCGTCTCCATGGCAACGCTCAGGTGGAGCGGCCCCGCCGAGGGACCGAAAAAGCCGAGCGCAAAGGAGGCGAGCGGCCAGGCAGCGGAGTCACTCCCTCTTCCGGCTCCTCATCGAAGGTGAGGGCTAAAGCCGACCAGGGGGAGGAGGTCCTTCGCGGCTGAGGGGAAAGGCCCTTCCGTTCGGCACACCTCCTAATTTTACGCGCTGGGCCGCTGGCAAGTGCTTTAGAGCGGCCGTGGAACAAAGAAATAAACCCTCGGCCTGCCCCAAGCCCCGCACGGAGCCTTCGAAACGAAGCCGGGAGTGTAAAACTACGAGGAAACGCTTCTTGCTCTTTCCCCTCGAGCAGGATTTAAGGGGAAGCGGGGACGAACGGGTCACGCGCTCCAAGCCCGGAGGCGGGGCGCGATGCGGCTGGTGGGTTGCCGGTCACATGGGCGGAAGTGAGGGCAGAGGACGCTCGCCTGCCCGGAGCCGAGATGGCGGTGTGCATTGCGGTGATCGCCAAGGAGGTGGGCGCGGGGGAGGGGAGGGGACCGGGGGGAAGGACGTGGGGTCCACGCGAGTGGCCCGGGGCCCGCCTCCCCATCCCCCCTTCTGACCTTCTCGCTCCCCGCCCCCCCAGAACTACCCGCTCTACATCAAGAGCCTCCCCACCGAGAACGCGCTGAAGTTCCACTACACGGTGCACACCTCGCTGGACGTGGTGGACGAGAAGGTCTCGGCTCTGGGGAAGGCGCTGGTGGACCAGCGGGAGCTCTACCTCGGCCTCCTCTACCCCACCGAGGACTACAAGGTGTATCCTTGCCCGGGGGTGTGTGACCCTCGGGGGTGACCCTCCAACGGGGAGCCTGGAAATGACACGCGCGTTTTAAAAACCGGGCAGCTCTCGGGGTGGGGTGGGGGGCTTCAACTCTCAGAATTGATACTGCTGGCTGGGGAATTCTGGGAGCCGAAGTCCACCCATCGATTGCCAAGCTTGAAGACATTAGATAGGTTGTGCAAACAGGAGCCTCCTCTGGTCCTTGATCCTGCATCTAGTTAGGATGGAGAGACTCTGGCGGTCTCGACATATGAGATGGGGACGCTCAGGTTGTCAGATCTGGGCTGCAAAAGGCCGAGGGAACCCCTGGACCACAGCCCAGAGTCTTCTCTGTCTTTTTTTTCTGGTCTATCTAGTAATCAGATTTTTGAGGACAAGATCTGCTAGGCCTGCTGATGTGTAGCTGAGTGGCAGATCAAACCCCAATCTGATCTCGGGCACCTCAGATAAATGACAAAGAGACACGGGTGGAAGATCAGCCTCCCGTCTCCAGCAGTCTGTGTCCCTTAACCAGCCAAGCAGCTATGGCTATGTGACCAATTCCAAAGTCAAGTTTGTGATGGTGGTGGATTCTTCCAACACAGCACTCCGAGACAATGAAATCCGCAGTGTAAGTCTAAGGCACCTCCCAGAAGCCCGACTGGGGATATATAAGTCCTTTTGTGATTAAATATAACGGAAGTGGTTTCTTTGCAGATGTTCAGGAAATTGCATAATTCTTATACAGATGTCATGTGTAACCCCTTTTACAATCCTGGAGACCAAATCCAATCCAGGTGAGTAAGAACTTGCCCTTCCTTAGTTCTGCATGACCTGAAACCCAGACTCACATACTTTAAGCAGATTCATCAAAGACCAAGTGCTCTATGTTGACCTGACACTGGATGACTTTTAACTATGACTACTTTATAGCTTGTGCTGTGGTATAAATTCAACATGTTTGATGGCTTTCTGGTTTGATAGATGCAGAATTTGTGTTTATTTAGTTACCAGTTTAAACATGTTCTGCAAAAGCAGTGTTTCTCAACCTCAACAACTTGAAAGAATGTGGACTTCAACTCCTAGAATTCCCCAGCCAGCCAATTGAATAGGTAGCGAAACAGAAGATTGGCTAGACATCCCTTAGGCAGCCAGAGGGTCTTGGGTGCCTGCAAAAGAATGCAGATGCTGACGATAGGGGGAGCAGGGGAGGTGATAACTGCCTTTCACAAACCTAGGGATTCATACATTATACTAGCCCTAAGTTGCCTACTTTTGGCTTACTAAATTACCATGATGCCTGAATGCAGCCCAACTGGTTTGTTATCCTAGAACTTACGGCATTGTGCGAGTGATACAATTCTGTACTTGCTGTTTGCTAAATTGCAGAAACTGAACGGGGCAGAATGGGTATTAATTAGGGAAATGTTTTGCATACAGAGCTACTTGTTTTGATTAGTCTGCTTCCAAGCAGGTGTGTTTCAGATGTTCTGGGTCTATCAACTGGGCTGTTTGGCTTTGCATATGGACCAAAAGGGTTCTGGGCAGAGGAGTAAGGAAAAAGCCAGGGACAGACATCAGCTGGGGAGGGTAAGGAAGCTGCTGGCTTCAGCAGGTGGGCTAGTGGGATGGCTGGTAGTGGCAAAGCAGGGGCTCAGGGAGCTGCACAAGGGGAGAACTGCCCTTCTTGTACTCCTGAATTAGCTCATCTATCAGTTTGGGCTGGATGGGGTGATCTGGTTCCTGCTTTAAAGCTTCCTCTCTCTGCATTTCAAGGGCCTTTGATAACACGGTGATGTCCATGATGGTTCAAGTTTGCTGAAAGTCCTGCCTCTTCTACCGGTTCCTTCGGCTGAAAAAACCTACACCCTGCACTGTTTGATGTTCTTCTGTCCTTAAAATAAACTCCTTTACTCAATCCGTCTGAAGTGTTTGCAGAGCTACTCAAGGTGCATGCTATCCAGAATAATAGAAGAGTTTTAAGGGACCTTGGAGGACTTGTAGTCCAACCCCCTGCTCAATCCAGGAGAACCTGTACCAATCCATATAAATGACTGTCTTAAAAGGGGAGGTGGCTTGGATCAAGAAATTCCCATCATAAGAGAAGCCTATCCTTAAACTTTGCATTAACTTTAGCAAAGAGAAAGTCTTCTTTCTCCATTTGAGGGCCAGAATGGGATACCGTATGCTTTCCCTTTAATGACTGTGGCCTCTGAATGCATTTATATCAGAATAACAGTTGGAAGGGACCTTGGAGGTCTTCTAGTCCAATCCCCTGCTCAGGCAGGAAACCTTATACTATTTCAGACAAATGTCCAATTTCTTCTTAAAAACCTCCAGTGCTGGAGCATCCACAACTTCTGGAGGCAGGTTGTTTCACTGATTAATTGATCTCACTGTCAGGAAATTCCTCCTTAAAATCCTTTTAAATGCCTTTCCACATGGTAAGTTTGGATGTCTGAGTGCTACGCTAATTCTCCCTCCAGCCAGCTTGCTTTTTGCTAAGTCTTGTCTTTAATAACAATAAAGCCACAGGGTAAATGGATGGAACAGCCATGCCCAACTTACACTGAGAAATGAATATGCAAAGGCTGCTGTTTGCCCAGCTCAGTGCTGAAGATGCCAGAGAAACGTCTGCGGGTAGCCACTGTGGTTGTAAAGCTTAATTTTCACTAGCAGGACCATTTATTTTGTAAAAAAGGTAAACGTCTTACAACATGGAACTTTATCACAAACTACATATCTGTTCATCGATACATTCATTTTAATACAACCCTCCTTTTTCATTCTGCTTATTTCAACCTCTGCCAGTTTATTATTCATGTAGGGCCCAATCCCCAGGAAATTGCCCATCTGGGATGCCCAACCTTTTCTGCCCTGGCACCTCCCAGTCAGTTTCACAGGGCCTAACCAGGAGAACCTTTTTTCCCTTCCGTAAATGCTTTCAAGCAGATCAGTCCCATCTTTCCACTTGCAAAAATGAATACTTTTTTTTACATGGTAAAACTCGCTTCTGATGTCTCCAGCACGCAAAGAGTGAAGCAGAATTTACAGCTGCCAAGAACAAATTCCTTTTTAAGACTTTTTTTTTGTCTGCTGCAAGAGGACTAAGTGGAAAGATCATTTCAATAAAACGTGAACTTTACTAGTCTATTTTGACAAAATTCACAAGTTGCTATGCTGGTTTTTCCTATAAACTCCACAATGGATTAAAGATAAAAGGTTTTGTTGGGCACCGTCTCCTTTAAGGGCAATGAAAGCTGCATTGGCAGCAGTAATGGATGTACCTGGTTGTGCTGGGGTAAAAGGTATGCAAAACAAGATTGCAGCAGGTGAGCCCTATAGTAAAAATTCATTTATACTTCTTATTTTGAAGAAACCTCTTAAATTAATTTAAATTCGTTTAAAATGAGGAGCAGGGCGTATCAGGATACAGTGACCTGCAATAAATCCCTGGGAACACAAGACTCGCTGCTTTCCTCCCAGCTGGCTTGCCTTTTGCAGAAAATCCTTTTTTCTAGTCTTTTTCAAGTCTTCACAGCCCTGTGAAGGGAGGGGCATTTAAAAATGCTCACCAAAACCCTCAGGATGATTGCAAAAAGGCAGGGCAGATGTGCTGTTCCATGCCCGTATTGCCAATCCCTTGTATACACACACACTTTCACAAATCGTAACAGGCTTCTTGTAGAGAGACCCCAAATGTGTAAAAGGAGAGAACGACAGCTTCTGCTCCCCTGAAATAATAGCACGTAGTTGCTGAAGAATGAAAAGGAATCCAGGCCCTTCCCAAAAAAATAATGCAGCCCCCCCCCCAAGCCGGGCCAGCAAGATTTGGGTGCCCACTCCTGGTTTCTTCCCCCTCCCCCTCACTGCTTTGGTTTACCAGGAAGGAGGAGGATGGCTGGTTTCCGGACAAACGGGACAGTGGCTCCTCACAAATGGGCTGACAAGTAACAACAAATACAGATAGGCTTTGCTTTTCCTCCGTTCTCCCCTTCTGAATTCCTCCTGGCCTGTCGCTCGAGTTGTCTCCTTTGCCAGCTAGTAAGGCGTGTACCAAGCAGGTATCCTCCCACGGCCCCTGGAGAAGAAGTGGGTGCACAAAGCTCTAGTCACCAGTTTTTCCATCCTCCCTTTAATCCACCTGCATCTTCGTCCCCACTTCAGAATGACAATTCAGGAGAAGATCTCCACAGTCTGCTCGCTGGTAGAGCTAATCACCCAGGGAGGTGGCACTCTAACCCTCCCTGAGGATCAGAAGTGGCTTAACCACCACCCCCTATTGACAAAAGAAGAAATGTGGATTTCTGCAAGACCAAGAAGGGCAACTGTAAAACCAACAAGGTAGAGAAAAACAGACGAGAGGAATAGAAGAAAAAATACCAGCAATTTAAAACCTAGCGCTATGCTGTAATTTGCAGCCAGATGAGAAGCTTGGGCTTCCTTCAAGCACACCGCAGAGACAGGATTCAGCCTCATCCCCCTCCAGAAGGACAGCTTATCCGAAAGGGTGCCACCTTGCCCACTCACCTGACTATTCTGCCACGGGGCCTTGAACGCTGCCCCCCACAGAAGCTGGCATGGCGAGGTGGGGCTCCCCGCCCTCGAAAGCGCCCCCTGGAGCCACCCCGGTCTGTGGAGCTGATCCCTGGAAAGTTGGTTCTTTTGGGCAGCACCTGGAACCAAAACAACATGGATCCAAGGAACCAGGGATAAACATGTGGAAATAAGAAGAGAGACAATGAAACACAGTTGCCCCCCCCCCTCCTGTCCCCAGCTCATTGGAAGGGAAATTAAAAATTGGTCAGCATATCAGCATTATGTGCAAGCTGGCCTGGTCCTGATGTAACCGTCAATGGCAATTGGAGAATTGCAAGTTCTGAGTTGGCCAAATTTGCCCAAGACTCTCCTTTGGAGAAGGTTGGGTAGCAGATGGTGCAACTGTGTCGTGTTGTGTAAACCAGGCCATCCCTTTCAGACATAACAGTTTCTTTGCGCAGGGCATACAGTGTGAATCCTGCTGCCGCTGTGTCTCGTCAATCTGAGCTTATGGATTAGCGTTACAGTGCTTAAGGTTAGGCATCTTCTGAACTCAGCCAATTGAGTTACCAGTCTTGAGTTTATTTGCCCAACTGAGCTTCCAAAATTTCCAGGAAAGGCATTAAGTATTTTAAACATATTCTGCAGAAATGTGTTTTAATGAGCCCAATCAGGGGAAGAGAAACTACGATGATGGCAGAAGTTCAATTCAGACAGCATTCAGCTTTTGAGAGGGAGCAACCAAGGTCTCCAGGGAATTTTCAGGCAGGAATTAGGGGTCAGAGATATCCTCTATTCAGCAACAACTCCTGCTAATGGTAGGATCCTGCACCAGAACAGGCCCTCACAGGGCTTACCTTGATGATACGGCCTCTGAACGTCCCTTCATCCAGTTCCATGGCTGCTTTGAGAGAACTCGGGTCAGCAAATTCTATGTAGGCATACCTGCAAGAAGAAAGGATGTTAAGTAAAAATAAATAAACAAAACCCTTATCATATTTTATGTCGTAAGCCACCCAGAGTCGTTGGATATGAGATGGGTGGCAAATAAATTGGACGGATGGGTGGGTGGGTAGGTAGCCCACCTGCCCTAGGGAAACAAAGGCCCTGGACTAACCTGGCTAGGCAGCCCTTTGCTTCCTAACCAACACGCTCCCCACCCCTCTCCCCATAATAATTGGTCACTTGCCCTTTCGGATGGCCTGAGAACTTGTCGCAAAGGATAGTCACTCGGTTGATCTGTCCACAGCCATTGAAGTAGGACTCCAGTTCTTCAGCAGTCCCTCCATAATCTACCTGTGAAGATCATGCTCATGGACTCTGGTGCCCTTTGTTGAGAGCCCTGGAGTCTCAACACATCCAGGACTGTGGAATGATTTATAGACCCAAGGCATCTGGGAGTAAATTCCCACAAATGCAGGATTTAAGATCTGCTTTCCATCATGGGGAGAAAGTAAAAGGCGAAAGATTTATAGGATCTGAAGAGAAAGCAGAGTACCAGAAGCCTGTACTTAACAAAGCTGGTAAACAGGCAGTCAACATACTCTGCATTAGCGCTGCTGTAGTCTCTGGCTAATGTAACCACGCCAGACGCTAAATAAATAAATTACTGGGAGAAAGTCGGAAGGAAAGGGAGCCCCTCTCAGATGTGAGCCCACTATGCATTACAGATTCTGGCACATATGATTTAACCCCTCTTTCTTACGTTTCCCACATAGATCGAGCGCTGGTCAGCCTCCACTTTCTTCTCGTTTATTCTAGATAACAGGAGACCTACACAAGAAAGACAACTCTAGAAGTTAGGATGGAGATGGTCTTTGCCAGCCTTTTCAATTTAATGCCCTCCTTTGCCAGTTGCCCAGCAATTTGGGAAGTTGTGCTGTTATTTCGTACAGTTTTATTTCTTAAAACCTCATATCAGAGCAGCCCCTACTTGAGGAAGGGCCCGGGGCAACCATCGTTGGGCAGCCCTGCTTGACACGAGCCGTACCTGGGTCTGAACTCACAAGGAGAGACTTGGCTTCATTCTGCAACTCCTGCAGCCATTCATCGTCCTTCTCCATTGCACGGACTTTGGCTTTGATGGCCTCCAGTTCCTTCACCCCAAGAGAAGCCAAAGTAGAGGTGGAACATGAGAAGCATCTCTCTTCCCCAAAGACAGAGTTGTCCCCAGAAATGGCCCTTCCCAGCCCTCCATTGGTGCTGGTTTTTCAAATTCCAGCAATTTCATCCTGGCAAGAAGTGTAGACCTGCTGCTCCCCCCACCCCAAGGTAGGCAGAGGAGCTCTAGAATTAGGGAAAGCCTTGAGGAGACCTTCTCATATAAGGGCTTCCTCTGAACTGACCCAAGTCTCAGAATAAGACTCACTGGGTCTTCTGCTTGCAGAACCTCTTGGTTGGCCCCTTCCACAGGAGCCAAGGCCGAATCATCTTCCATGTTTTTCTGCCAAGCAGAAATTTCAGCTGCATCCCAGGGAGAATGGTCGGTGTCCGAAGCAGGAGGATCACACCACCAGGATCCAGAATCAAGGAAGGGATGGCTTGGGGAAAGTCACATCACCAAGGTTAGGTACGCCTAGGAGGCGTCATGGTGGATTGTCCTCTTTCCCTAGCCTTGAGAGAGTAGTGTTCTTCCTCCCCATCCATGCTCCTTTCTTGGGCTTCTTCCCTCAGTCCCCCCTCTTCTCTAGGTCCCCCTCATCTCATGTCCACTTCAGGGTCTGGCTTCAGTGACCAAGAGCTGAAGGGAAGCATTTTGCCCCTTTTCTCAGACTGGGTCTAGTTCATATGAGGAGCAAGCCTTCCAAATACGCGGGGTTTTTTGAGAAGGCTTAGTCAGATGCCACACTTCACAAAGTGTGGAATCTACAAGATCACAACAGCATCTATTATGCAGGGGCTAAATCAGAACTGCCTTTCAGGCTGGGCTTGCAGACGAGCCAAGAAACCGTGGGAGACTCTTTCCTTTCCCCGTGACCACTCCTAACCTTGCCTCCAAAAATATCATCATGGCTCCCTGCCTGCAAATTTCCGGGGAATGGTGTAAGACCCAACTTATAACGTGAGAGGGCCAAGGAGAAAAGCTGGCCTTGAGGACTGTTTGTTTGTTTTCGAATGCATGACAACAATGGCTTTGTTGCTAGTTCAGATGTGACATTGGAAGCCTAACGGCGAGGGCCACACTTCATGCTCTCCAAGAAGGTCACCGCAGAGCCTTAGTATGGAGGCGTCCCGTTGAGTCAAGCAAGACTTGCTCAAATACAAAGCTTCATTGTAGAAGCAAACTCAAAGCATTTTGCTATCTAAGCCTTACATACAAACACACATTGATGCAAAGTATTCAAGCATGCCCCCCTCCTAAGCAGTTCTGTCTCCAACAGCAAAAGGAAAGTCCTTAACTGTGCAATCCATTATTGTTACTCTTTAGGACATTCCAAGTTGGTAGACATTGGCTGAATTCATGATTATATTAAGCCATGGCTTGTGTGTATTGTTCGTAACCCCTAAACAATTACCAAAAGCAGCAAGCCATTCTGTTTTCAGATGAGAACCTTAAGTAATGTTCCTGCAAACAAGGAAGCCAAGTCTACTCATACCTTACCTTGCCCCAAGTCCAAACATGACTACTCACACCTTTTTGGCAGCAAACCCTTGCCTGTTTTCCCCACCTAGCCAGGCAAATTTGGAGGAAGCAACAGCTGAGGCAGGACCGCTGGAGCTCCATTTGATCTCTTTAACAGCCAATCAGGTGCAGCATTTCACCCACTGGGGGGGGGGGCGCTAAGCTAGCAGGGGAGGAAGAGCAAACAAACGCCCTCCATCTTCACCTGAACACAAGGGCTGTTATTCATATCAGTTCATTGCTTTGATTCATGCCCCACCTGTCCATGTGAGTCTGTGCAAGCTGAGCAGAAGGGCAGGTGTCCTTTGGAAGGAGTGGGGGAAGAGAGCTGCTGTGGGTCAGTGAAGTCACTCCTGAATTAAGGGAGCAGAGGTCAGACTCAAAGGCTGGGTCCACATCTGGCCAAAGTTCTATGAAAGGTTGGTTGAATGCGGCACAGCTGGGGTGTTCCTGCATCTCATTAAGCCAGACCCAAACAAACACTTTATCTTGCACGTCCAGGATCCCCTTATCTCCTGCTGGGGTTCAATGGCTGGACTTGTACGGCTAAGTCCTAAGATAGCTAGTTTGATTTTGGCTTAGCATGCTAGGTGAAAGAAGCCTTCCCCTCTCCTATGCTGGTTATTTAAAGCCTGTTGGTATCTTTCTCAAGCTGAGGTGGTGGCCTGGGAATTTAACTGGACCATGAGGTCATTCTTTCATTTGTCCTGCAGTGGTGTGCAAATGGGCTTTTGTGCACACAGGAGAAATGGGCACAGTTGCGTGATATTAAACCATCTTTATTACACAGATACAGAGTTAAGAACAGACATA